GGAGTCATTCCCCCTAAGTGAAACCACAGCACATTTGGAGTTTCATCCTGCAGCGCCAGGTAATCCATTGTTCCTTGTTGGCAAGCATTGGCACGAATTAAGTGTGGACAACATCATGCCCTTTGAACAAAGCAAAGCTCAACACATGTTTTGAAGTGGCCTTGCTGGAAAATTCTTGCCCTGGCAATCGTGCTTCCGATGAGAAACACCTTCCACTTGTTATGATGGAAATTGAATCTCAAAACTGTTTGCTCTTAGCATCGCAATTAGGTCGGAGGCCATCGCTGGGTGGAGGCCATTCCAATTAGGTTGGAGGACATCACCATTAGTCTATTAGTTGATGCCCAAGTGCCAATCAGCGGCCTTGGTGTCCTCGCCGCCGGCGCCCAGCATGTTTCGCCTGACACCGGCGCGTCCTAAATGCTTGCTTGACCAACAGGTAGTCCCGCCTTGTAACTATACTACCCAGTGGCTATTCAAGCGTATTGAAGCTCTGGGTCAGGGTCTTGTCGATCTGCATGCAAAGACACTCATCTGTTCTCCAATTGGGCCAGAGAGACCCAAGCAGCACGCGGCTGGCTCCCTTTCCAGAGTCTCCTCTGCCTTACCGCAAATCCAAGCTTGGTCCAGTTCTGCGCGAATTTATTTTGGGGGGAACCTCTTTCTGTGGGGCTACAAGAAAGCTCCAGGTGATTGAAAATTGGTCTACCTCCCAGCAACTTCACGCGTTTGAATCAACAAACCTGGTTATGCCAGGAAACTCTTAGATCAAGCAAAGCAAAATTAACAACCCTTCATGTCAAGCTAATTACAGTAGATCCATCTCTCCACAAATCAAAATGTGCTCACTCGTGCATAAGCCTACTGCCCACAGCCCAGGTGTGAGCGAGCTATCACATGCGGTGGGAAAGATGTCTGCGTGTGAGCCCGCAATAATCTACTTGTGAGTGTGAAGCGTGTTCATGAGGTGATATTATCTTCAGCTAGGAGCTAGGACTGTCCCTCGAAATTGCCGGAAGGTGTAAAGGAACCACTCTGTTGGCCAAAGGCTAAGGTCATACTTTGACTATGTAAATGCTGCTGATCTGCCGATCAGCTCTGAAGTCGATGTTTACATGTCCAAGATTGTGAGGCCATGTTGGATGTCATTTGGCTGTTGTCTGCACAATGAAAACCATGAAAATGGTTTAAGTCATGTGGTTTGGTATGCATACAGCATACAGCACGTTTGCCCTGAGCTGTTGACGGAAGACATCCACAGCCAAAGTCGTTGGTGTGTCTCTGTGCACCTGTAATTGGCCAACCAATGAGCCCAAAAAGGTGAATAATACAGGAAGCCACCAACTTGTAGCCAACAAACTGGCACTAAGTCCCTTTGACAACATTCATTCAAAATCTCTACAACCCTCTCCTTCTGGCCAACAGAGTATGAAGTTTGGCAAATGCATCCACAACAAAGCCGGCCTCAATTCTCTATACAGTAAGCCTGTTCTTTCAGTGGGTCTCAAGCACATTTCTGAAGACTTTACTCCAAATACATATCCTGTTCACAGTTCACAAAGCGTTTGAGTATGTCTTGCCCTGACCAATGAGTATTTTCTCTTCATTCGTTCTTATAGGGCCCCTTGGGCAGTCCCTTACTCCATGTGTGTCCTTTTCATTGTTTTCTGTTTTTCGTTCAGACCTATTACTGTTATTGTGATTTGTTTACCTGCTATTTGTGTTTTCTGACTTAGAAATGTTGTTTTTCTTTAGACGTTAGACTTTAGACTGTCTTTCTGTAAACTCGGATTGCGATGACAAGCACGCGCAAACGTCATGGTTTTCGACAGCTATTCCACCTCCCAAGGTGATTCCCAAAATTCCTGGCCTCGGCCTGCAATGTTAGCAGAGCCTCTGAAACGAGGTCTAACCGTACCACGTGCCTGCCAGGCCAAACCCGCAGGGCAGCTTGTTGAATTCTTCCTGTGACTCTATATATACCTGAGAAGGGAGGGGACGAAAGCCAGCCTCCGTAAGAACACAACCATAATGTTATGGGGGGTGAATTCGAGTCCGCACTGGAGCCGCTGTCAAGCATGGGGAAATAGACGGCAGGGGTGGGAAGTCTCTCGCAGTAAAAGCCGATATGACAAACTCTCATTCACATGTTGGGGTGGGGTGCCCCTTTTCTTTTGGTCAAGGGGCGTTTTCAAGATAAAAAGGGCACCCCTAAGTGACTGAGGGGCGCTTGCCTGCTGTTTGTTTCTCTTGCATTGTAGATGAACTCATGAACTCGGCGCGCTGCTAAGAATGGACCGATGAAAGTTTACTGCCAAGATCATGTGATTGCTGAACTTCGGATTGCTTGCTCACACTTCCAACTTCAAATGTCCAAAGAAAACCTCCACGTTCCCTGTCCTGTCCTGAACGGATAACATCCTTTCTGGTGCTCCCTTCCACTCTTACAAACCACCCTCCCCTATCTCCTCTAGAGGTCGCGTTCTGTCTCTCTGCTCCTATTACCCACGGCTGAGCGACGCACTTCTCGCTTGCCTGGTGAGCCACCTCTTTTCCTGTCACGTCCTCCCCCCCATGCCTGTCCTCCACATGAACTCCCACCCATATGGGGTGCCCTTTTGCGTCTGCTTATCAGGCCTCTTCACCATTCAAACAGGTTTGCACACTGCATTCTGGTGTGTCGAACCCTTCCACTCATATTAACCAGAAGAAACCAGAGTGCTGGAGTTGGGAAACGCGCATCTCACTTTTTAAAGGCGTTCCAACCACTTTTCACGTCCCATTGTCCCCCCTGAACCGAGAACCGCCCGCCCCCGACTGGGACGGAAGAGGCCGATGATCATCCTCGCGGTCGGCGGGTCTGAGGTGAAGCCATCAACAAGCTCACGAGCGAATACTATGGAACCACGGCGGATAAGGATCTTGAGGCGAGTTGTGGAGCGTTTCTCTTTGTGTGTGATCATGAGCGGGTTCTCTGCATGAACTTGCAGCCTTCCCCCTTGGAAACTGTGGATCGTAGATAGCCGGCACTCGGCGCTGCCCACAGCTAAAGATTGGATCAGTTTGGCAGTATGCTGCGGGTGATGTTATATACTTCTGACAGAATTGACCACCACTTGGGGTGGTGACCTGGTCATAAGATCGATACCACTTTAGATCGACTTTAGAATTTCCCTATCGGACTCAGTCAAAAGGTTTTCCAACACCTATCCGAAGTGCCGGACCAAACCTTGTGAAACTGACTATATTATATGTTATAAGGCCCAAGTCGTGCTTCACATGTCTATGAGGAGGAAGCCTCTTTCATGCAGGTAGCACCCCCTGTCCATGATCTGATTTCGAGATACATCCAAGGGGTCGTCAGGACTTTCCTACCGGTGGTTGCTCGACATGAACTCCCACCCGTGGTCGAAAGACTGTTTGAATAACCTCCTGAGCATCTCATGATGCTAATGATGCACTCTTCGGCACCTCCTTTTTTTGCTCTCCCCCACCAGACTCTGAGTTCATCCAGATTATGCCCTTATGCAACCATCCCCGCACCCCTAATACTCACTTCGTTCGCCTATCGGCTGGCTTTCGTAACATCAAAAAAACACATAAAGTATGTATATATATATATATACAGTATATATATATATATATTAAGGAAACATGCAGCGAGATAGTGAAGATGAACATAGCTCGGAAGGGGTACATCAGCCAGGACTTTGGCAGTCCATTGATCGATCAGCAATGAGCTAAGCGTGTATCCTTTCCTACGACACCCAGCAGGTCGATCCCGGGCCTCTTGACCGTGGAAGGTAAGCCAAAAACATCGTGCACGTGCACCTGGACCATGCGCTTCACTGCACGTGCACTACGTGTTCCCACTTGCGGATTCAACATGTCACAACTTGCCAGGAAGCACTCCGTGGTTCACTGCAGTGTTATTCCCCAAAAACTTCCCGCCTCGCCGGTGTACGTGGTGAACGCGCGAGTCTCTAACCTGTTCGTCTCCAAATCAGGTGTTCTAGCCGGGAGGCGCGGCTCAGAACATCAAGATCCAGGGCTCAGTCTGAGACATGTGGTCTAGAGGCCCCGAAAATGGAAAGAGACATGTGTTCTGTCAACGTGTGCATTTATGTGTTCTGAGAAGGCTGCTGAGCACAAAAAGGACACCACCAAAGAACCCAGATAGCATGTTTCTTTCTCACACACGCGAGAGACAAATATGTCTCCCTACTTGCTTGGGACACAAGACAGCAGCAGTGGGCAGGCAAACCGAGATCACAAAGCAAGCCAGCCAAGCTTGGGCGACCCGACAGGAGCAGGCGGTGAGACAAGCTGTGCAAACACAGCAGCAGCGGCAGCGATTGAAGAGGGGAGACAAGACACAGCACAGCAACGACAGCGGAAGAGCAAATTCGCAACTCAGTCATTGAGACCAGCGTCACTATCTGGCAGCTCTCTGGAACAAGAACAATGGTAAGTTGGGCGGCTCCACCTGCAACAAAAAAGAAGATTGCAACTGGAACCTCGGCCACTACTGCCCCTCTTTCCCTTCAGTTACTCCGTCTTCCCCGGTGGCGTACGAGCTGGGGAGAGAGGTATGCTTGCAAGCTTTCACCTCGTACTCCAAGAGCTTGGCCTCAACCCGACATCGGCGCTTCGAAGCTGGCCGAAGCGCCAGCTTAGCGGTGGAAGTGAGCGCGACCATTTAGTGGCAAAGGTAGGTAGACCGCCTGATTGCACATAAAGAAACATACGTCAAATATGAAGAAGAGCCTAAGCAGTGCGGCAATGCACCAAACAAGAACCTGCTTTCCTAACAGCAAAACCCATGCAAAATGGTGAAAGCACAACCAACCAAGGACTGGAACATCGTTGTCCTGACTTTGTGAACTCTTGATGGCACATTACGAACATTCAAGGCCCCAGACATCCTGCGGTGCCTGACTGACAGAAAGGACCTAAGTGTCGGAGGCCGACACTCTGCAACAAGAGCTTTGCGTCGGTTCTGCACTTATGCCCAAAAGCACAAAAAGTTGTTGGAAACCAAACCGACATATTGCCAGGAAGAAAGCCTACCAAAGGGGAAACAACTTCCAGAAAGCATACCGTGGCAAGAAGCTGGTTTTTCATGGGTCTGAACTGAAGCTTGGCAAGGTTCAACCGAGGGTGACATGTCAAGCGGAGTTGAAGAAGCTCAAGACAAACCACTCATTGTGAAATAGTTGGAACAGTCTAAAATTACTGTAGTTCCCAAATTAGCAGCTGGTTTCTTTTCAACAGTCATAAATCGGAGAGGTGTAGTTGAGTTCAATGCCCTGCAATGCAAGAGGCTTTCGGGCCACCTGTCATCTAGTTTTTCTTGCAGCCAAACGAGGGCCTTGGGTCCCGTTTGCCTGCTAGTCATTTGGCTTGATGCTTGAGAATGGTATGTATCTGACGGTAATTACAAGCATTCTATGATTCTATTTGACTCTCCAGTCACTTGACCTCTTCTACAAAAGTCAAGGCTAATCGTTGCTCAGGGACAGTGCATATCCTACCACCACAGCACCTTCCCAAGCCAAATCCAAGAGATGAAAGGAATAGCGGAATTGTCGTTGCCGTCCCTACAACAAAGGCATTTGTTCAAAGGAGTTGCCGGAAACCTGGAATCACACCCATCACGTCCTGTCTATTGCTAGCTGCGCTTTGTTCACAAGAACAAACGTTGGGGCCACGGCAAATGCCGTCCATGCTGACAGGAGACGAACCACAGACATGCGTCAAATCCAAAACTGCTGAGAGATATGGTGTTCGGGATGGGGTGGTCAGTTCTCTGCTCAAGATCTTTTTTGCAATCCACCCTTCCTTCATTGGAAGAAATTTGATCAAATGGTCTCAGATTCCAAAACTGGGACGGCGCTGTTTTCTCCTAACTTGCATAGAAAGGCATCCATTCACAGCTTGAAATCTCACATGTCAATAGGTCCAGTAGGACCATTCGAGAGTTCTGCATGGGTTCAGCTTCAGGTTTGGGTGCCCAGATTGACAGCACATAGTCTGCCTTCCTCAAGTGCATTAAGCTGTCTTGGCCCTATGCCATTGTAAGCATTCCAGTGGTTTTCTTTTGTTTGTAAGATTCTTAGAATGAGCAAAAGCTTCGGTTGAAAGGCGGCCGGCGTAATCCGACTGAGAGGTTTTTCTCCGTTAGCCGTTGCCAACTCGGAGCTTGGGGAACCTACGGGGTCAATGAACTGACATCGAGGAACGTTCTAGAGATTCTAGACCAGGTCTTCGTTAAAGGTTTATGAAGTGGAATGCGCATGTCTTCTCCCTAGTGACAGTCACAAGGCCAGTTTATTTTCGCAACTACTCCTGGTCCAGCAGGCTCTCACAAAATGATGTCGCAAAGGTGGGAAATCCAAAGACCTGAAGCGCGAGTCATGCGCGAGTCATACCCCACAGGTATCATGTTGGGGACCAGCATTTTCGGATGCCATTCCACCATGAATTCGTGTGCCCTTCTTCTGCTTCTTCTTCTCCTCCTTCTCCTTCTCCTTCTCCTCCGTCTTCGTCTTCGTCTTCATCTTCGTCTTCGTCGTCTTCTTCTTGCCCTCTGAAAATGTTGGACTGTTGGACTGCATATTATACTTTCCAAAAGGCGTGTTCCTGAAAGATCAGAAGTTTCTTGATAACGTCGAGCCCTCAAATGATCTGAACTGATTCTGCTCGGTCTTTCGGCCACAACAGCAAAGCGAGATCCACACGAGCAGCCAGTGATTGTACCCGCACTCGACACGCCTTGGCAACCCCTCCAAACCTTTCCACGAGACATGTGACACAGCTGACATGTGCCTGACCTAGACTAGACCTACACAATCGTGAATACTCAAGAGACTTGGTTTGATCTGGAAAAGCCGATCACAAGGCCCCTGAGGCTGTTTCTGCTCGCGAAGTACACAGTCCGAATAAACTGCCCCAAAAAATGCAGGGGTCTTCAGCCCACCAACCCCACTCTGGGCCTTGCTAGCCCCTGCTAGGCCTCTGGCTTCACGGTGGCGCCTTTGCCCTTCAAGCCCTGGGTCAAGCCATCGCCTTAGTGGGGCGACCCAGTGGGCCAGACTGGTCAGGATGAGCAATGGAGTGAGGCTCATAGCCTGCCGGTGCTTTTAGTTGGAAGCACATATTCATTGGAAAAGAAATCGTCACCTTGCGAGCTGACAAGCAACATGACAGTCATCTAAAGGCCAAGCTTGTTTTTTGATGAACGATTTATCGGTTTCCATAGAACAGGGTCCTTCAAATCCCACAGTTCCGTCTCCTCAAAAGCAAAACGCATCTTGGGAATCTTTTGCCAAATCACTGTCAAAGAGGATCTTCTCCAAGACTGGAAGCCCCATTAACTCCTGGCACTTGCGCCAGGCGCGGGTCTGAAGATGCCAGAAGAGTCACTTGGAAGTGTGAGGTATTGCCACCCCACTAGACTAACTACAATGATCCCCACACGGCTTCTACCAAGACAAAAAAAGAAGCGCCATCGACTCCGCCACGCATTCCGTGGTCACATTGGGGCAAACCCACTGGTGAATGCGAATGCGGCGAATGCCCCGGCACCATGTGAAGAAAGGATCTGGACTCGACACAAATGATGCAACATCAGTTTAGGAGTGTCCAGGACCCCTGTGCAAGAACACAGACCGATTTTCAGGCCATTTTCAAGGCGTCCATCAAGAATTCTGCGGCCTTCAGTACCATTTGTTCGTCCAACGTTCGGGAGGAACATTTCGGTACCATCTATCCTGCACTGTAAGCGATCCTCAAAGATTCAGCTGTCGAGCTAATTCGATCTCCAGCAGGCGTCGCATGGTCGAAGCAATTGGTAAGGCCAAGAACTTCTCTGACTAAACTCAGTCAAGCGACTTAGTCTGGTCTTATTTGGACTTGGCTGCTTGATAGTCATGCACACTTCAACCCGTGAAACCTGCGAGAACATCAAAACCATGCAAAGGGGGGCGTCTAAATTCGCACTGTTCAGGGCGTAGACCACCGAAGTTCTGTCCAAAAGAACTTGCTGGAAGCTGGAAATGTCTGCTTCACACGAATACAGCACCTATGTCGTCTAAGCGTCGTGCAGATCCGCTAGCAGAATAAGTGGAATCGATCTCACCATATCTGATGTTGTAGTACTTCACCCATCCGTTCTTGTTTTTGGGCCTCACCAGGTGTGTTGTGGCCCATTCCGTTGACTTCCTCTGCCTTTGAGCATTACACATTACTACACCTACAACTCACTCATCTGCACTAGGTCACTAGGTGATGCAAAATGGTGCAAACACGTTTTTCGCCAACCCTTCCTCAAAACGGTCGGATTACTCAGGGTCGCATTGCAGGGTCCACGCAGAACCCCCAAGCGCTCCGAGGCGTTCTCGCCGGGGGGGAAGGAGGCATCGAGCCAGGCCATGTGGGTCGCATAGTCATTCCAGATGGACACGGACAAGACCATTCCACGCTTCAAGGTTTCGCCCATTGACACTAAGCCACCCAACTTTTGGTGATGATCGTAATCTCCAAAGGCCTTCTTCTGTGCGTTGCAAAAGCCATCCGTGATGGCACTGCCTGTGACGTTGGGGATTCTCGAGGCCGCGTTGGCGATCACCTTGCCGTGCTGGATGTACAAGCGTCGAATCTCGGTCAAGTTACCCTCATCGGTCCCATCATGGGTGATGAACTGGGTCACCAGCGTCAAGGGCTCGTTGCTGTCCACTGCGAAGCTGGAGCCGTTACCGTAAAACGTCTTGGCTCCCATACCTGGTGGAATCAAATCCACCCACCCCGCTTCGGCATGCTGTGAGGCATGCTTACTGTGAGCCATGCCAGCAAAATAATGAACTATGACCTAGCTATGTTGTGGTTGTTTGATGTGTCAGAAGATTGGTTGTTGAAAAACTGTTGATGTGTCGGTGATGCACGAAATGTCACCTACCGCCCACGGAGTGGATGTGTTTCCTTTCCAAGCACACTTCGGGGCTGTCGCGAGTCGAATCAAAAATGATCGGTCGCGGTATCAGTGCGCAAAATATCTCGTGTTGGATGTCTAATATCTAGGGTAACCTGGGTGGTGGAACCAACACATCCATGTTGTGCCAAAATTGACATCGATGCCGCCGTCGAGGTTCGGTAGGTGTTCAGGTCACAGCCATCCTTGTCGCACAGGCCCATCCAGCGCTCTCCGTTCTCACCATAGCCACATTCGATGTCCCCCATACACTTCTGAGGTCCCACGGTGCTGCAGGGGTGAGGTGTGAATGCGGTCGCATGTTTGTTGGCCTCCCAAATATCCATCTCCACGCAACAAATACCACGGGATGCATTTGTTTCCTGACATCTTGGAATGGAAGCTCAAGAGGTGACATGCATCATAAAGAGTGTTCAAAAAGCACAGAATGGAAAATATATATATGATCTGAAACTTCCAGGTGCGAACTTTTCATGAGGACATTGAGCATCGCAGTACCCTGTGCCAAACTTGGCCCCTGCAAGGTTGCCGTCCTTGCCTTTGCCCCCATCTTTGTCCATTTCAATGAAGTAGACAGCTCCATTCATGCCGCAATTGAGCTTGTGTACATCCACATCCAAAGTGAACTCCCGATTGAGAAGCTTGAACATCTTATAGGACTCCTGATTGAAACCGTGACAATCACACAATTCCTAAAGAGTATTCGGGGTCATCGCTAGTTTGCTCATGCTCTACAGTCAAGAAAGCTCCTCCCCATCGGTGACATAGAGCCGCGATCCTACGTTGCCGCCCTGTGTCATGAAGTCTAACTTCACCCCTCTGCCATCATCAATCTCGCGCACGCCATAGGTCTTCTTGTAGCCCTTTGCTGTGACTCCTGGAGTCGATCACGCGGGCTCAAACGCGCAGCACCGGTACGGCTCGTTTACGCGCGGACGGCTGGATGAGACGGATGAGACGTCCGGTCACCGGAACGGCAACAACAACGGCAATGTCTCCTTCCAAGGAACAATTCTTCTTGCAAGATTCTGGGTCTGGGCAAAATGTAGGATTCCATCCCTTGTCGCTGAAACAGTTCCTTGGTTTTGCGTGTGGCAGAAAAAGACAAAGGAACATTCAAGACATCAGACAGAATTATATACAAACCTCGCAGTTCAAAAGAATGCTCCCTCCCAGAGCTGCTAAGCATGAAAAAGTATGAAAAGACCCAAAAGACCCATCTTCCCCGTGATGAAAAAAGATGTCAGTCCGGGATGCTGGTAGCCACCCACATTGTGAACCCATCGCCAGTTCGAATCCAGCACGAGTCCGGCCTTCTCATCTTGGCAACCTCCCGCTTTGGTGCATTCCTGGATCACCAGCGACGGTGACCTGAGCCCATGTGAAATGAGAGAATTGTTACTAGTAGCTTATTGTGTCTAATAGCTTCTTGTTACTACTAGTAAGGCACTTGTTACTAGTAGCGATGCACTTGTTACTAAGGGATCAAATCAACTTGTGAAATACTACCAGACCCTGCAGCCCTCTACACAACCAAAGGCTTAGATGGACAAGGAGCTCAGTGTTCTACGTGGGAGTTCAGTTGCAGTTCCAGTCTATACTGAAAAGAAACGTTTATATATATATATATAGGTAGCATCAAAACGATATCTTTGTCCAAACGTTTTGAACCTGAAGAAGCAAACACAAGTGCAAATGAAAACAGCAGGGATAAATGTAGGAGGTGGGGAGCGAAGAAGAATTGAAGGTGCTACAGTGCTATGGAACAGATGTTCGCCAAGGTTCTCTTCTGGAACGACCGTGCCCGCGTGTTGGGCACACGTCCAAGGAAGAAAGGTAGAACCGATGAGCCACGTGAACTTCATGCTGAACGGAGAACTGCTACTGCTACTCGCCCGTCTGAACTGCGATGGCAAGCCGCATGCCCAAACAAGTCATTTCGTTGCAATCGAAGCAGTGGGACACAGAGACCTCTGTTTTCATGTGTTTTCAGAGACCTCATCGTTAGCCTCTGTAGAATAAGAAATGAGAGGTGTTGCAGCGGAGGATGTGGTTGAAAACCTTGGCAGCTGGGCTTTCCCTTCGGTAAACCGTCACCCATCTCGCCTTCTTTGCATTGAGGACCCACCAGGTGCAAGCTGCATCCAGCTCCGCCTGCCCCTTCTTCTGGAGGATCGCCTGCAGAAAGTAACCTGTTTGGGTAAATCAGATGGGTGATCACATTCCTGCAGGAGCTTTTCCTACCAAGCAAATTGACATGCAGAATTTCTGGACTTGGGGGACTTTGCTATCGTTTATCTGAGAGCATGGGGGCCACGCGATGTTCCTTCTAGTCCTGGCAGGTTCCCTGGCGCTTGTAGCGCGGATCTACCCCATCTGGCAAGTCTCCTACAAACCCTCCCGGCGTGCCACAGGCGAGGCATTGGCCCTTTTCTCATCCGAGTCAGCTGCCAGGATGTCCTGAGTGGCAGTCTGGTTTCTGGCCGCAAAGCAGCACGAATGTCGGTACATCGGCCTCTGCTGGGTGGAGATTTTGTCAAAAAGAAAACACCATTGGTACATCTCTAAGAAAAGGAAAAACCTTCTCTGGTTTTGCTTCATCCAGGAATTGGCAACCGCCAAGGGATGCTGCATGCGTGAGATGGTTCCAAATAAAGGCCATCCTGCCACTACTGTTCGTCCACTGTGGAGCTTTCACACTTTAGTCGCTGAGCGTAGCTCTCCATAAAGCATGTTGTGGATCGGAGCAAGAAAGCGCTTCACACCCTGCCAGCTGTCCGTTCGCAAATCGTAGATGCCTGTCGTTCGCTCTGGCAGCTTGTGGCAAGTTTACGAAAGGAAGACTTCCCGAACCAAGGGACTCGAGAAGCAACTAGTAACAAGTGCATCGCTAGTAAGGCACTTGTTACTACTAGCGTGGCACTTGTTTCTACGTTCGCTTCTTGTTACTACTAGTAAGGCACTTGTTACTACTAGCGTGGCACTTGTTCCTACTAGCTTTGAGAAGCACCAGAACAAATCTGTACTTTCACACAGAGGAATCCTGCCTGAAACAAGAACCACTGCTTCGAAGCGACGCTTTCCTCGCTGAATCAGCTATGCAGGATCTATTTGTCGCACGCCTAGCATTACCGAACCAACAGTGAACCTCCATAACTAATAGCCATGGCCTCCAACCTAATAGCAATGACCTCCAACCCAATATCGATGGCCACCATGGGTGATGCGAATCTGATCCAAAAGCTTCTCCAGATCCAGGTCCACGGCATGTGTGGCACATGATACTGGGGTTCCAGCCATTCTTTGGGACTGCGCACTGCTCCAAGCCGTACAAAGAAGCGACGTGACCGCCAGAGGAGTATCCTGTCATGAGGCTCCAAAGGGCGACATGCAGATCATGCATTTAAACCCCCAAACTGAGGCACAAGTATTTTCGAACTTGTTCGATGATGCAGGTACCAACAGGCTTCCACTCTGAAGAGAAGAGCGGCGGAGTCGCAACGTGAGGTCAGGCGGAGTCTACCTCAAATCCATCGAATGAACTCGACTGGGTCCCAAGCGTCCACCGTCAAACTGGTGCCAGATGCACCGCAAAGAACCAGACGCCCATCACTGCCGAGCAAAGACTGATTCTCCTCTGCCTCAAAGGATGAAAGTTGCGGCACTGCCGAGCATACTCTCAATCTCTCCTGTCATGGTTCAACCATGATGTACAACCTTGTGATATAATGAAGGGTCCGTGAAGCTAATGTACTTCTCACTATGTATATTCTTGTTCATCATCGCGTTGTCATGACTATATCCTATAAAAACCTGCATCATGCTCGACGGGGTTGAGGTGATCAATCCTACCTCGCCAACTCAAAAGTGTGCGAAAAGGCCCCCGGACCAAGCTGGCACGGATGTCACAGGTGACAGGTACGTGCCCGCAGAATGAAAGAAGCTCGCACACCCGGACTTCAACAAGGTAACGGTAATGGACCCAAACAAATCCAGAAAACGAACAAGTCTTCCTTTCAAAGCGTCGCTCTTCACAAGCAACTCTTGAGGACCTGTCCCAGGCGACGGTGGCCTCCACCTGCGCCAAAAGGAAGAAATGGTCTTGGAAACGGTGCATCGTCGTGGACAACCAAAGGATCCAAAGGATAACCTGCATCATGTGATTCCCTGAAATCACCCAGGAGGCGATGACACGATGCGATGTGTCAATTGTGCAGCTGACTAGCTTGAGGGGTGCACAACCTGGACACGACAAGCTACTACTGGGAACAGCCGTATTCGGCGCATTGATTTGGGAGCAGCAATCAAAAGCTGCCCGTCAAGGCCTCATGCAAATAATTCCGATGGCGGTCAAAGTCCAGCTCTCCCAGCCTCAAAATGAGGGAAGGAGCAAGGACGCTACTAGGGGCTCCTGGCATTGCTACTAGGAGCAAGGACGCTACTGGGAGCAAAGGGCATCGCTACTAGCAACAAGAAGCTATCAGAAACAGAATCAAAATTTACTTTAACTTTAGTTAGAATTTACAGTAATTAGAATTAACCAGTCGTCATGGCGGATGTCATCTGAAGAAAATCTACTGAACATCACTGGCATGACAAGAAAGCGGGCAACCCTTCCCAATTAATGACAAAATCCGACATGCTGTGAGAATGATGCTGTGCTTCTGACAGGTACTGCCCAAGCCGCACTGCACAATGAAGCAGCGGCCTCAAGAAATCAGCGAAGGATTCAAGCATCTCAAAGTCACAAAATACTCCTCAACTCATGACCCACAGCATCCAACTCCGATGAAATGGCTTGGAAGCTCTTTCACCAAGCACCATCTCAATAGCGACTCTCAGGCAGGCGCACAATCACCAGCCCGGCGGCCATATTGGCGATGCTCATAAACCATCCGAGAGGTCCAAGGAGCAGCATCTGAAAGGGCATCGGGCGGTTCCCCTTTATAGACTAGGGGTACGTCTGGTTATTGTTTGAAGGGTAAAAGTCAAGACTGAGGACGATTTGATAAGTCCGAGATGTCAAGGAATGTTGTCTAACCTCCAAGAAGCCTAAGAACAGAGAACCACGAACAGAATATGAGGAAGATGCGCGTTTAAAAGATCCCAAGCCTATCCAACATGCCAGCGTGAGGTGTGAAAGTGCCAGCAATATTTGTGCGTCCATCACATCGACTTCATGCTCCCGACCCGAGCAGCGCACCGGGACAGCTAAAGAAGTGGCCAGCACGGCATCCATGATGCCGGGGATCACCACAGCCTAACTCCAATATCATGCACGCCAAAGATCCCCGTCCAACGTTGAATGTCACCTACACTGTGCACTTCATGAAAAACTCATGATGGGGCCATTGAAGCCATCGTTCCTTCCTCATCCCAGTGGTTATCCGACCCCGCCATGTTTGCAACAATGGGTATGTGTATGCAGATTTGTTTCTCACCAGGATTGAACCTAGTAGAAGTCGTCCCAGGCCTAGCAGGCCTACTTAACCCTCTTGCTCCGGTGATCAACACTGTTTCTCCCGAACGCCTAGCCGAATCGGAGTGAAACCGGTGAAACTTTGGCCACAGAATGACTCGTTTGGTGCTGATGCATCGTTTTGCGACATACCAGTGGACCTTCAATTCCACCAAAAATACAATCCGAACCTAGTCAGCGTCATCACCATCCAGCGAAATCTGAATAAGTGGCTCCTCTGGCGGCCTTGATGGGCCAAACCCACCATTGCAGGGCGCATCGAAGGCGACGACATCACCATCCAGCGAGTCCACGGTCAATGTTGACCAGGGCATGATCTCCTGACAGCCATGGAACAGTTCAGGACCAAACCCTTTTCAACCACTTGTATTTGCAGCACTCAAAATGTTTTTATTAGAGCCTTGATGAATTCCTGCTCACACAAACCCCACAAGGATGATGAGGATGAGGATGAGGATGAGGATGAGGATGAGGATGATGATGATGATGATGATGAGGAGGAGGAGGAGGATTTTGAACACCCCTGACCTCCAGTTGCAACCCCTCAAAGCTATAGATGCCACTCACAGAGTCTTTCTGGCCATCCGCCGGAGCCTCGTTCGGCGGCAATAGCCCTGCCAGGGAAGCAGCGTAGACAGCAGCACCCAGCACAGCAGCGTGGTCCGGTCGGAGCACCTCGGAGGGCGGCTGCCCCCGGAAGAAGTCCTTCACCAAGCGCCGGAAGCGAGGAATGCGCGAGGAGCCGCCCACCAGCACCACGTCCACACCATTGCGTTCCAGGCCCGACTCCTCCAGGCACATGTCAAAGATCTCCAGTAGGCAGTCGATGTCACGAGAGCAGAATTCTTCGAAGTAACTCCTAGACATCGCCACGCAATAGTCATTGCCCCGGACCAGAGCTTCGACGTTCACACGAGTCTGATTCCATTGGGAGAGTTTCCGCTTGGCGCTCTCACAAGCCATTGTAAGACGTAAGACTGCAACCCAGTCATTGGACAGGTCCAGCCCCAGTCGAATCTTGATATCAGTGAGGCAAAACTTCACTAACAATGAGTCCAGGTCTATGAATTCAGTTCCCACTGCCCTTTCGTACAGGCTCTTTCCACGCAAGGTGAGCAAGCAAAAATCACAGTAACAGGCCCCAAAATCCAAGACGAGGATATCTCGTGGATTCTCTCTGGGGTTGGTCAACGAAAACGCAATGGCTGCTGCGGTGGGTGCTTTCACCAATGCCAAAACCTCTAAATGGGCCATTCGGCACGCTTCTTCCAAGGCCTTGCGCTGTTGCCGACCATACTTTGCCGGCACCGTAACAACTGCAGATTTCACATGTACACCTAAACATTGTTCCACTTGCCTCTTCATATGTTGCAACAAAACGGCCAGTATTTCACCAGGTTCTAAAACCTTTTCTTTGCCACGATCACGAACGCGATACATGGCTGAACCATCATCCCCCCCGGACGATCTCTGGTGGCCCGGCCACGCGCAGCCTCTGTGCCCAAGGGCTCTCAAACGATGCACCCAAAAGCTTTTGCGGTGCAAACACTGTGTTGGGCAAATTGGATGCGGCCTGCTCCACAGCGGCCTCCCCGACCACGG